ACTAGAACAGAACGGGGAGCTGCGATTGATTCTAAAAGATGAAAGCCATCCGAGGCTTTTGCCTAATGTACCTGTTCCACAGCCTGAAACGAACCTGTTCCTACAACCACAGCCTGAAACACCTCCGTGGTGCTGACCTCCTCAGGCACAACGCTGCACCACCTGAGGGCAGTTTTGCCACGGAAAGGATGCCTGGGCTGGGTGAAGCCGATTTCACGGGGTGGAAGTAGTTTAGCTGCTTTGGGAGCCCTAAGCAGGACAGTGATTCAGAGGGCAGGAGTGTTTTCTTACTGATTTCAGCAGCAGGTTGACCTGTCAGCTGGCTGACTTACCCGGATCAGAGCTCGTCTGGCCTGAGCAGGGGGAAAGGGCAGGGGTGACACGGTCTGAGGGTGCTGGGAAGCGAGGGAAGGGAATGGCATTTCAGCTGCTGCAGCCTGTGACATGCACCAGCTGCTGCCTCCCAGCTGCCAGCATCTGATTCTGCTGCCGCGTTGTCGGAGGGACAGGATCCGACCTGGCATCAGTGCTTGTACTCTAACTCATCTCTTTTTCTCCACCTGGTGGACTTGCTAAATGTGCTTTCATTTCAGTGCTTTACAGAAACTCCCCAGCACTCTCCGCAGAAACAGCTCCACTTGGCTGTCGCTGCTCCCTGCTCCCTTCGCCCAAACCAGCAGTGCTGGTGTGTGCTGGAATGATCCCACGCCAAGGGCCAGGTCCCCAGCTAGGGGCAAGGTCCCGTTAAGGTGGGACAGGCCAGCTTGGCAGCGATTGCATTTCAGGGCACAGCTCCCTGCTTCCCCACTTGGGACTTGCTCCGCGCACCGGCCTGGATGCTGTAGGGCAAGGCAGTACTGGTGGGTCAAGGCCTTGGGGCACCCCTCAGTGCCTTTGCAGCTGTATCCCAGCCAGCTCCTGGGGAGGGGGCCGTGAGACCCACGACCCCAAGGAACCATGCCATCGGAAGAGCGGCTCTGGAGGTGGCAGGTTTGGGGCTGGGCTGATCAGACTCCAGCGGGGATGTGGTGGGTCCTGGGGGCCAGCCAGGCTGGGGGTGGGGGGGCCATGGGACAGTCTCCTGGAGCAGGGCCGTGGTGGCTGCTCCAACATGCTGAGGCCAGTGCTATACCAGTGGAACGAGGGGTGTCACGTCTATCCTCTGGAGAGGGACAGGGGATTAATTTCATAATTTGCTTTGCACAATTTAGGGTGTTTAAAGGTTTGCTTAGGGAAGGACGTGTAAGGAACTGCAGATCTCTGTTGGTCGGAGATTTTGGTTCTGAAGTCACCAGGACAGTTCTGCAAACGCCTTCAGGAAACCTGAGTCGTGAACAAGCTCCGTCTCGCTGCAGACTATACGCCGGGCCCGTACAGATAGGCTGTGTGCTCTTTGCAGTGTAACAGCCCATGGGGTTCCTCGGCAGGGTTTGCCTCAGAGCCACACCAGCCGCAGAAAGCCAAGAGTTTTCTTCGAACTCTGGGTGGAATGCTCTGGCAGTGTCTGACGCTGTCCCACCTCTCCTGTCCATGCAGCCCTGCCTGCTGGGAATGGGGCAAGAGCAGGGCTGCCAAGTCGAGGGCAGGCAGAATTGCCAGGGCATTTTGATTTAGCTCAAGTGTATTGGGTCCTTCGTGCTGATGGAGGGCTGAGGTTGCAGAGTGTGGTGAGGGAGCAAGCAGGGATATGGGGGATCCTCTGGTGGCCCACAGCCCGGGAAGACCACAGGCTTGGGGGCCGCCAGGTGCCCCGCCTGGGTCCCACACCTCGTGGGTTTGCGCGGGAGTGGTGCAGCCCCTGCGTGCACCACAGCAGGGAACGCTGCTCCCGACTGCCCTCGCTGGCAGCAGCTCCCCTCTGTCCCCTGGAGAAGCCGCGTCTCCGGCACGGCGCTTCTTCGCCGCGTCCCCTGCGGCTGTGCGCCCGCCCGCCCACCCACCGGCCCC